GTGGGGGAACTTGCACAATCGGTGGCTGACTAAATACTTTTTTGCCCCACTGTACTTCCTCTCCTCCACCTGGGTCAGTAGCTTGTCCCTGACCTGGAGTGGCCATTCCACCCTTTCCTGCTGAGGACAGTGGGCTGAGACTTGGAGGTGCTGATCCCCTCCTGATGCAGCCAACAGGACCACGTCTGCTTTGAAGGCTCAGCAGCAGCTCCAGCACTCAGAGGACAGGGGTTACGTTTCTGACTCTGCTGATTGAGATAAAGGCACAGACACAGGAAGAGTGTCAGACAGCTGCCTCAGAGGCTCTCCATGCAAATAACAGCTCATCATCACGTCCACTGATGATCCACGTTACACAAGCTGCACTCATGACAAACGGACCTCGTTTGCACTGCGGTGCAGGTGATCCTGATAAACAGACAGTGAAGTATGAATGTGAGCTGTTCAGATGCTGCAGGTCCTCAGAGCAGCTCAGCTTTGAGCCAGCGAGCTAATGGGAGCTCTGTGCAGGTGACCGGGTACACCTGCAGAAAGCCATGAAGGTGTTCATACCTGGGAACACCTGTGCTGGAGAGCTTTCTCCACTGTTTGCTTGTTTTATACATGACATAGAGTGTGTGTCTGTCTGTGTGTGTTTCCAGGCTCTGAAGGTGCTGAGGAGTTCAGACTTGAAGCCTTACATCATCTTCATAGCTCCGCCCTCCCAGGAACGACTGCGAGCTTTATTGGCTAAAGAAAACAAGAACCCCAAGGTGCTCGTCCATTTACGTTTGCCCATCAGCTGTGTTTATGCATGTGTGTCTCAGTACTGACGTGTGTGTGTGTGTGTGTGTGTGTGTGTGTGTGTGTGTGTGTGTGTAGCCCGAGGAGCTGCGTGACATCATCGAGAAGGCGCGTGAGATGGAGCAGGGCTCCGGTCACCTGTTCGACTCCATCATCGTGAACACGGATCAGGACAAAGCTTTCACCGAGCTGCTGAGACTCATCAACAAGCTGGACACGGAGCCGCAGTGGGTGCCCTGCTCCTGGCTGCGCTGAACGAACATGCGCGCGCGCACACACACACACACACACACACACACACACACACACACACACACTGAGCTAGGGGGCGGACAGAAATCAGGACAGAAATCAGCTGAGATTTTGAATCAAACTGGATCATAACTGTTCGTGTTTGTTATTAAGGGCAGAACGAGTCCTGCTGAGCAACAATAAAATCATAATCGACTAACGAGACGGAGTAACGTCACAACGAGCTCAAATTATTTCTGTTATCTTAGTGGGAACATGAACAATCTGGTCTCTGACCAATAAAAATGAGTCTCGGCATTAAGCTCCTCCTCCTCCTCCTCCCCGCAGCACCTCAGTGTCCCAGCAGGGGGCGGGCCTCACAGCCTGTAGTGTCGCTGCCGCTCGATTGGTTCACATTTCGGTGTGTTTCTGTCCTCGCTCGTGGTCACGTGCAGACGGAGTTGTTCACTCACATTTTGGAGATGCAGAGCTCTGTGCCCGCCCCACTGAGGCATTCTGGGATACCTGAGGGCGAGCAGGCTCGGAACAGCGAGTTTAAAATCCTTTTTTTTTTTTTTTTTTTTTTTCACGACACAAACGTAAACTTTTGACATTTGACCTTCCGCTCACTTTGTTCTCGTTTTTAAACGTTTTGCTGGAATATTTATTGTGTAAATCGACACTGATGTCGCTGCATTAAAAACTTTATTTTGGAAAGATTCTGAACGTCTTTCCAGCTTTATTCTGAAAGTCTCAGATGTTTGTTTCCTGTCGCTGACTCTGAATCAGTTTTTGAACACACTCTGACGTCAGACTGTTTCGGGATGTCGTGTTTTTCTTGGAGTCGTGTTCGTGTTGGACCTCGCCGCCGTCGGCACCGCCTCGTCATCATTTCGTTTGTTTTTAATGTTTGTTTTAATTTGTTGTAAACACACTCACCTGTCCAGGTGAGACTCCTCAGGAGGAAATGTGAAGCTCACACTTTGGCTGCTGACTCCGCCCCCTCGGCCGGGCTGAGAGCACAGACTTCCTGTCTGACTGACTTTTACTGCACTTATGATTGTTTTTGTATCAGCTGATACTGTTTGACCTTTGACCTGGCGGCCTGTGTGTGTGTGTGTGTGTGTGTGTGTGTGTGTGTGTGTGTGTGTGTGTGTGTGTGTGTGTGTGTGTGTGTGAGAGAGAGAGTGTGAAACTCTGAGCTGAAGTAGAGACTCTGTATCATCACTGTAGAGCTTTTATATATTTGTAATATTCAAAATAGATTTATGAATACCAGAATGCACCAATAGGAGTGCAGCTTTCTCGCCCTCATCCCCTGCTATTGGTCCAGGAGGAAGAACAAGAGGGGGGCGGGGCTAGCTGTACTGAATGTAATTGATTCCACTTCCTGTTTCTCACTTCCTCCTGAGAGAAAACTTTTTGTATGAATATTCACCACAAAGACACGAATAATGAATAAAATAGATCATCAGTAGAAAATAAACCTGTTTGTTTTTATTCAAACTTTATTATTATAAAAACCACTGACATCACTTCCTCCTTTCAAACATAGTCGTAGCTTCCTACCTGAAGCCACAGCGGCTCAGAGCTGTGTGTGTGTGTGTGTGGGTGGGTGGGGGGGGCAGAGGGCCCGAGCCGGCCCCTCTCAGCCGTACGGCACGTGGTCGCCGCTCAATGCTAAACCCGCACCTGTGTGAGACGTGCACACTCACAGCCATAAGTTCAGTCCCACAGCAGAGAAACTGAAAAGATTCAACCTGTAGCTTTTGCAGATGGAGCTCTCCTCGGTTTTTGATGGGTGATTACTGCAGAGGTGGACTGGATTTAATGATTTGACCTCAATAAATGACACTTTCAAAGTCACCTGGATAAATATTGACTCTGAGATGCAAACCCCTTCATGGAGTTTGATTCCACATTAGGAATTTTCATCTGTCTGTGATTTTCTTTTGCTCTGCAAATACAACAGTAACAAATTCCCCTAAAAAGATGTTTTCATAAACAGCTGCTGCTGGTCTGTAAACATGACTGTGTTGCACACAAACGTTTGATGTGGAATAACAGCTCCATTCTTTATAAAAACAAATCCATTATTTCCAGAACTGGTGCAATAAAACTCTCGCAGTACGCCAACTGTCTCATGAAGGAGGGTGCTGAATTCTGATGTGACTATAACGCTCCTGTTTTCTCTGTAAACAGGAAACCAGCTTCTTCCTGCTCAGGTCTGGATTTGGTAATCCTTGTTAGGATCACAGCGTCACGTTTAGTGTCTGATCATATTCACTCTCATCGTGTTGTTTGGTTCCACTGATACTGACCATCATTATTCTCACTTTTATGTCATAAACCTGTTGAATATGTTCATGAGTCCAAGATCTCCAGTCAGAAGTTCATGACATTTTCTCAATAATGGACAAGAAGAAGAAAAAAACCCTAAAAACGTTTCATTTATTTAAACATTTCAATATATTCTTGTGTGTTGGAGCGATTTGATGGTGTTCTTGTCAACCTGATGTTTTGTTGCACTTAATGGAAAAATAAATAAAAGTCAAACCTGAGTGTGTAACTGTAGGGGGCGCAGTCGAGCTCTGGTACTGACTGATCTGAGAGGTTTAATCAGAAGTCTGAATGACCCTTTGCAGCTCTCAGTCTGTAAAGTTCATATTTAGCTTCGTACATCTGCTCTCTGCCAGTGTGCTGGCGCTCACACCACACACATTATTAAATCCGTTATCAGGGAGCACGTTTACCCTGTAAAGGTCTGAATGCAGTAAACTGTTAGCTTCCTGTAGTAGTATTAGGAGTATCAGTAGTTACAGGTGTGAGTGTTGCAGTAACTCAAGTTTGTTTCTCATCTTTTCCAGATCACGTCCTCAAAGTTAAACTTCGTGTTTTTTTTTTTTATCCAATAAGATAAAATGATCTCAAACACACGTTCGTAAACCCGCCGTACATGTCTGCAGTCAGACTGCGCGCGCACACACGCTGTAGTATGTCTGCATTTGTCATTACACAGCATTTCATTACTCCTTCGTTAACTTGTTGAGTGAATGTGAGGACAGCAACACTCACAGTTTGATGTAAACGCGGTGACGCTGTGATCTCAGAGTAATCATTTACATAATCCTTCCTCCGCTGTGCTGTGAAGCTCTCAGCCGAGCAGGGAGATTCAGATTGTGTGGATTTATACTGCTTCATTAAATTAAACATCAGATTAAACATCAAGTTCCCTCCATAAACCAGTGAGGTCCTTTAAAAGCATCGCTCACATATTCTGTTCAGTGATTTAGAGAATAAAAGCTCAGAGTCACTGGGTTTCATAAAGAGAATGCTGAACATGTGAAGCTCTCCTTCAGAATAAAAGACACGTGCAGCAGGCTGGATGCTGAGCGTTATTGAAAGAACACAGAGGGGTCACAAACACCTTACAGTCAGGCAGTCACATGATTCATGAACGCCATCATTGAGTTACAGTCTGCTTTCACAGAGACTTCTGGACATCTTCAGACAGTAAATGAGGTGGAGGGTCTGGGGGTGTGAGTGAGGTGCAGCTGTCTGAAAACACACGCTTCATCGATATAGTGTGATGTCATCTGTGATCCTGCACAAAGCTTCCTTAATGGTGACTGACAGATGTCAGTGCTGAGGTTCGCAGGACTCACCTGAGACCAGGTGACACCAGACTGTCAATGAAGAGAGTCAGTGTGGACCTCAGACTCAGCCTCTGTTTCCCTGGGTGTTTGTCCCACTGCTTCCTGCCTGTGGAGGCTGAGGGCTGTTAGTAATACAGAACTCTGAAGCGCTGAAACGTTCATCGCAGCTGTGACACTCTGAGAATTGCTCGGTCCATCACAGCGAAAGATGTATTTGAGACCACCCATCGAACACCCAACCTCATAGAGTGAGTGTATGATGATCTCTCTTGTACTGCGCTCAGACTTTGGTTGATCAAAAACTCTTGTAAACACAAAGGCTCCATCTGTCCAATGGCGAACGTCCCTTTCAATCAGTTCTAGGATGTTATATTCACTCTTTCTGTCTGTGCATGTGCGACATGGGGAGCGATAATAATAATAATAATGGATTGGATTTATATAGCGCTTTTCTAGGCACCCAAAGCTCTTTACAATACCACTATTTATTCACTCTCACATTCACACACTGGTGGAGGCAGCTACAGCCACAGCTGCCCTGGGGCAGGCTGACAGAAGCGAGGCTGCCATATCGCGCCATCGGCCCCTCTGGCCAACACCAGTAGGCAAGTAGGGTAAAGTGTCTTGCCCAAGGACACAACGGCCAGGACAGAGAGCCCAGGGATCAAACGGGCGACCTTACAGATGCGATTCCCAACCCCCTGAGCCACGGTCGCCCGATAAGAGTAGATGAGGAGGAAGTTATTCTTTGTATATTTTCATAGACTGCTCAACTTTTGCAGAACTAAACGTTCTGCATGATCAGGTTTTATGGCACAGAGAAAAGAGCCTGACTCTAGAAATAGCTGGGCTCATCTCAACACACATCTCAGGCTCTGGAACCAGTCTCCTGAAAGGAATACTTTGTGGACCTCCTTAATCCCAATGACGCGTCTTCTTCAGAGGACCCAGAGTTCGGGGATGAGGGGGACAGCTCGACCATCACTGAGGACGAGGTCAGTAAGGCAGTTAAGAATCTCCTTGGTGGCAGCACCACCTGTGGATGTGATAGGGCTGTCCTGGCTGACACATCTCTACTGCATATCTGAGGCAGGGCCTCTGGATTGGCAGACCAGGGTGGTGGTTCCCATCTTCAAGAAGGTAGACCGGAGGGTGTCCTTCAACTATTGGGGATCACACTCCTCAGCTTCCCCAGGAAGGTCTACACCAAGGTGCCAGAGAGGAGAGTTCGTCCGTTAGTCGAACTCAGAGAGGGGAGGAGCAACGCAGTGTTTGTCCTGGTCACTGAACCAACTCTTTACCCTCTCCAGGACACTTGAGCTTGTGGGAGAGTTTGCTCAACCAGTCTACATGTGCTTTAGGGATTTGGTGAAGGCAGAGGAGAAATCTAGAAAATTTACTCACCTAGTTTTGATGACTTTCACAACTTTAGTCAGCCAGTTCACGTCCACAGCCAGACTGGTTCCAGCTGCCAGCAGGACATACCGCATGAGGCAGGGCAGCAACTTCATCTGCACCGTTTAAAACAACACATTTTATTTACATTTATGATCCGCTTTAATGCAATAAATCAGTGCACGCCATAAACAGCTGACCAGAGTCAGAGTCTGTCAGTTCAGGATGTTCCAGATGTTGCAGCAGCAAAGAAGAACGCCTGCAGGAACATCTGGACCAGATGACCAAACTAGCAGCTGAAGAGGAGCTTTGTGATGCTGAGCGCTTCAGTGATGTTATTGAATTTGATGTTCAGGAAGATGTGAAATACTGTGGGCAGCTGTGGGAGGGCAGTCCACCCATGGCTGCTCCTAATCCAGCTTACAGTGAGAGCCTCCAAGAAGTGAAGAACACCATCCTCTCTAAAGCTTCAAAGTCTCCTGGGATCACTCTCTCACAGCTCAGAACCAAAATTCGGGACCTGTGGAACGCCCTCCTCAGTTTCAAGAACACACCTGAAGTTGTATTGTACAGAAAACTGGAGGCCCTGGCCAGAAAGCAGACCTGGATCCTGATAAGAAGCATGAAGACCACTGAAAACCAGCTTTTTAACACAACTGAAAATGGAACGCTCTACGAGGCACCAGTAAGTTATCTTTATAAAGAAAATAAACTGAAGATATGAAATATTTACAAATTCTTCATTCTAACATAAAATTTGAATTTTCCTTATTTTTCTTTTGTTTAGGATCAGCACGGAGGAGCCAGAGGATTCAATGAATCAGAAGAAATCCCTGGACATAAAGAAGACCTGCAGCACAAAGACACTGCTGCAGCAGCTGCAGAGATTCAACAACATTTAGAAAAACAAGATAATATTCCACTAAATATCGCCATCACAGGAGAATCTGGTTCTGGTAAATCCAGCTTTGTTAATTCTTTCAGAGGTGTGAGTGATGATGATGAGGGAGCTGCTCCTACTGGTGTGAAACAAACCACCTCAGAGGTCACACCGTACCCCCATCCCAACTATTCCAATGTTACTTTGTGGGATCTTCCTGGAATCGGCACCACCAAGTTTCCAGCTAAGAAGTACCTGAAGCTTGTTGGATTTGAGAAGTTTGACTTTTTCATCATCATCTCAAACACTCGCTTCACAGAAAATGACGTGAAACTCGCTCAGGAGACTCAGAAGATGAAGAAAAAGTTCTACTTTGTTCGCTCAAAGATCGACAACGATATAAATGCTGAGAGGAGAAAGAGAGACTTCAGTGCTGAGAGGACTCTGACAGAGATCAGAGACGACTGCGTTCACAGTGAGTGTCTCATCACAGCTGAGTGAGATCTGGATTCACTTTTTAAACATATCCTAGTTTTAAATTATTTAGTCTTTGTCTTGGTTCCCGGGTCAGTGACACAGTGTTTTGAGTTTGTATGAGTTCCTCTTGTATTTCTGGATTTATGTGTTCTGCATTGTTTAGTCTGTTTGCTTGGTATTATTTCCTAGTGCTCCCTCGTTCAGTTATCCATGCTTCTAGTTTCCTGTCGTGTTAGTGGGTGTTAGTTCTCCGTGTTCCCTCTCTTGTCTTGTTAGTACGTCTCTAGTCCTACTCTTTGTTTCTCCCTTTCCTGTTCCCATGTCCTTCTCTCTGTGTTTCATCCTTTGTCTACCCAGTCTGTCACGTGTCTCCATGTCTGTTCATCCCCAGTCCCAGTGTCAAGCTCACGTGTCTTTGTCAGAGTCGGTGTGTTATTTCCTGTTTTATTTTGATAGTCTCATGTGTGTGCTATGTTCAGTTTTACTGCCTGTCTCGTCAGTTAACTATGTTCAGCCGTGTTCCTCTCTGTCCTCTCTGTCCTGATTCCCTCTTGTAAATATTGTCTGTTTCTCCCACTGTTCTTTGTCATGTTGTCATCATATCTGCTCCAGCTGTGAGCTCTGTTTGGAGAGTTCCCTGATTATTAGGTTTCTGCTGTAGTTTATCTTGTGACCTGTAAATCCAGCATCAAAGCTTCTCTTGAGTCCTGCATATTGGATCCACGACACTTCCTTCCACACAGGATCCTATGATATTATTTTATAAATCTAACCATGTTCAACATGTTTCTCTATCACACAGGTCTACAAGGCATCGAGTCTCCACGGGTCTTCCTGGTGTCGAGTTTTAAGCAGCACTGGTGTGATTTCTCTCTTTTACAAGAGACCTTAGAGAGAGAACTTCCTATGAAGAAGAGAGATGCTCTGCTGTTTGTCATGCTCAACATCAACCCAGAGATCACCAGGAAGAAGAAAAAAGCTTTTCAGTCCAAATTAAAATACTGGGCCACTCTGTCTGCAGCTGGAGCAGCTGTTCCAGTTCCTGGTCTCTCTGCTAATGTTGATGCTGCTGTGCTGGTTGGTGCTGTCAAACATTATGTTCATGCGTTTGGTCTCGATATCCCGTCTCTGAAGAGACTTTCTGTGAGCACAGGTGTGCCCTACACTGATTTGTGTGCTGTCATCACTTCACCACTGGCTGCAGCAGAAATAACTACAGAGCTCCTCTTGAAGGTGATGACCCAACTTGTAGGAGTTGTTAAATTGATTGCAGCAGAGGAAGTATCCAGATTGACTTTAACAGCTGGAATCCCAGCAGCAATGGGTCTCTCTTTCACCATAACCTACACAATTCTGAATGCTATCATAAGCTCGCTGATGATGCTCACAGGGTGTTTGCAAAGAGTCATGGTCTGTAAAAATAAAAGGCAATGAAACTGATCAGTGTGTCCGAGGCCTCAGCAGGTCTCATTTCCTCTGATCAGACCAGAAACAGAGTAACTTCTCCCAGCTTCACACACCAAAAGCTTCCTCTTCCTCACATCAATACAGGAGCAAATGTGATCTTATTATACAGATATGAACTGTGTCAATATTATAAACTTTGTAAAATGTAGAAGAGCCACTGAATAGTGTTGTTTTTTGTCATTTTTCATGTAATGAGTTTGAATATTTCTTGATGTGGCGTCTTCATCAAAAATGTTTTATCTGATTTAATAAAATGATGAAACAGATTTTTTTGAATCTCCCAGCAAAATAAATTATTTTAATGCAGAGTGTTTGATGTAATGTGATAAGCAGACGTGTGTAGAACAGAAACTGCTCTGTGGTGTTTGTAAGCTGTTTACTGTAGAGTGTGATGAGTGTTCACTGCCCTCCAGTGGTCACAGTGAGGAACTACAACACAAACGATCCCTATGAACAATGTTTATTTGTCTAGTACAGGGGTCTCAAACTCGCGGCCCGAGGGCCATTTGCGGCCCACGTCACCTCTACTTGCATATTGATGTGAAGAATTTTTTTTTTTTAATTATTACACGAAAAATGATTTAATACAACAGGCATGGCCCTTTAAGACTGTAGCCTCATGGGCGGTGTAGTCCGTGCTGCAGGGAGAACGTGTGGGACCGCACCTCCCGCTGTGTGAGCGAGGGAGGGAGAAAAAAGTTAAGTAGAAAAGTATGAGCTGTCTCGGAGCAGAAACGGGAGCTGGAAGCATGTAAATATAATAATAACCACTGCAGCCAAACAGAGTGCCTGACATATGCTGACAAGCCCAGTTGTAAGTACGCTATTAAGACTCGACTGTACGCTGTGTTCGTGTTTTCCTCTAAAACAATAAGTTCGGTTGCAGCAGTCTTTCAACGCCTCTCTCTGTCTCTCGCTAGCAAAGTTGACCCAGACAACAAAGTAAAGCTAGTTTTCAGCTACGAGCCGACACGAACCCGACGTATTCGCCAGAGGTCCCTTTAGTATGGTTCGGAGCCGCGGACCTGGCCGAGGTAAGCATGTTGAGGGGTTGGCTGTGTTAGTTCAGTGACAGATTTATTTGGAAAGAAAACAATTTTCACTTGCAGTCGAAAACTAATGTGCACACTTATGCCTGCATTTTTATTTTGTTATATACAAACAAAATTGTAGCAAAAGTGCTTCCACGTGTTTGGCCAGAAAGAGCTGTTTATTTGGTAGTTCAGTGAAACTACTGTACTATACTGCTGAGTGACTGTCTTCTGCTCGTCAGATACATTTCATTGCCATGTTGACCCTGGGCTAACTTGCATATGACAAATGAAACTGAAAGGCTTCAGATAGTTAAGAGTGAGAAAAATATTGCGTTCATGTTTGCAGTTTTGTCTTGCTACACAATATTTGGAATTAAATAAAACAAACAAAACACTACATTTTAGGAAATATTAGACGGTGTTTTTGTGTTTGTACTACTTGGACACTAAAGTGGTCCTCCAATGAGATGACGGTGCCAGAAGTGGCCTGAGGCTCATTTGAGTTTGAGACCCCCGGTCTAGTATTAATAAAATGTATTTTAGCATATTTCATAATATCCTCCTAAACTTGGGGGGGGATAAGTAAACCTGGTGAATCACTAAACTCTCAGCTTCATTAGAATGGATCATTATGGGTAAATGTAATATAGAGGTCTCCATTTACTCCATAACACAATGATTTATTTGGTACATGTATACAAATCTATAATTATAATCTAAAACTAAACTGAGCGACTTTCAGTGACTTGTTCTAAAAAAAAATCAACCTACAGTCATTTTACAGTCATCAGAAATATGAGTCTTGGTTTTCCTGCAGAACATTTCAGGCTGAGCAGCCAATCCCAGTCAGAGAGAAGTGGATGTGACAGAAACACAGCAGAGAGAAGGACAGAAGGTCAGAGCTCTCAATTCAAGGAGCAAACACACAAAACAAGACGGGAAGAAATTTCAGAGGTTGGAAATACAAAACGCAAATGAAGGACAAGCTGGTAAAAGGTGGATGATGAAATGGATAAAATAAAATGAAATAAAATGCAGTTGGTGGTCCGAAATGATGAGAAACTGTGACTGCAGTTTTAAAATTTAACAATTGCTTGTGATGCTGTGTGTATTAATAATAGCAAATTATATAGGAACAATTTGCAGGAAAATGGAAAGTTCCTCACTCAGACTTTTTAAAACTCTGCTAGTTTTAAAAAGTTTGAAACATCAAGAACTCTGAACAGTTTTTATTCTCCTGCTGCAGGTTTGGAGGATGTTGTTTTATTCTTGTCACACAGTGGTGACAATTATTGTATTGATTATATTAATGGACCAGAGCAGAGTGGTGTGTTTAAATGAGTCCAGAGGCAGGGATGCAAATTTAAAGAACCAGCTGGCTTTAGTGAACCGAACCACAGATTTGACAACCACAGGTTTATGCTACTACACACAATTATGAAAAAAAAAATTACAAAAACATTTTAATACATAAAACTACCAGCATAAAGACTTGGCCAAGTGTAAAAACTCCAAAACGCATACAAAACACAACAGAAGTGCTCCAGGATGCTAGGGGGCAGTGTTGAGCATTTGTTACCTAGTGGCTACACAAGCCAGCAAGTACCAACGACTGGATTTGGTGTGTGGTAGTAACAGGTAAATGAACTTTTTTTTTTTTTAATTATTTGAATATATATGAGTGCTTGTGTATAAATACACAAACAATACACACATGCTTTCAGTTGTGTAATTTAAGTGATCTAGTAGCTCTGCTCTCTAAAAAGAGCCAGAAATCCCATCACTATTTGCTACTGGCTAAAATCTTCTGGTTCGTCGTGGTGTAAGTTGGAGCTATCATCATGTAAGGGCTCTTCTTTACCAGCTTTTCTCTTTACCCGTAAACCCTCTCTGTACACTGATAATCAGGTGGTTCTTAACACACTCAAGATCTGGTTTCAGTTTAGACGTCACTTTAATTTTGTAATGCCGTCTTCCTCGGGTCCTCTAAGCGACAACCATTTTTCCCCCTTCACTCTTGGACTCGACATTCTCAGTGTGGTGTGACAAGGGTATAAAACAGTTCAAACATTTATTTGTGGATGGTGTTTTCGATAGTTTTCCCAACTTGTCTTCTCGGTACGATCTCCCTATCACCCATTTGTTTCACTATTTTCAAATTTGAAATTTTGTTGCCAAGTGTTTCCCAAATTTTCTCCTCTTTACCTCCAGAACAGCAGTGGGAAACTACGCTATCATTTATTCCTCATCACAGAGGAACCATTTCAAAACTCTATGATACTATCCTGTCTTTTAGTAACCACTCAAGTGTCCATGGGAAGGAGAACTAGGAATTCAAATACAGGAGGAGTCTTGGGAACAGGCTATAGCGAGGGTACGATCTTCCACCTCCTGTGCTCGTCTTGGACTTATTCCATTTAAGGTCTTACACAGGGCGCATTTCTCTAAGTCTAGACTTTCTGACTTGTATTTGGAAGTGGAAAACAAATGTGATAAATGCCACGGCTCTCCTTGTCACCTTAGCCACATGTTTTTCTGTCCTGAGCTGGAAGCTTTCTGGACTGGATATGTTCCTATTATATCAGCTGTTCTTGGAGTAACTCTTCATCCCTGTCCTCTGATTGCTAGCTTTTCTAAGTATGTTTACTCAGGAAAATGAAGAAATGTTCACTGTATTTCAGTAAGTGCAAGTTCTGTGTTGTTTTCTTTTTCTAATAAAAAAATTGCAAAAAGAGCTTCTTCACTGTTCAGCTGAGATAAGGTTCACACTTCTGCTGCACAATGACAAAGTTAAACACTCGTTAACACAAGTTTGACAAATTATTTTTGCAACTATTGACCTAAAAATGCAACCAAGGAGTTTTTTTATAACCATTTAAATGATTTACAGAACAATCAGCTGTTCTGCATCAAATACGATGCCACACAAATGAGTTTCTAAGAGACGGAGGAGCCCATCATAGCCTGACACCTGCAGAGGATCAATGTTATACCCCGTATGTCCAACCGAGTGATTTATGACCCCAATAAAACGATTGATGACATAGGAAGTAATAAAGCAAATAATAAAACAGCAGTCACAAAAATATAATATTAATAATATTGTGATATTAATAATAAAGTTATGATATTTCATAACTCGTTAATTTTCAATAATTCCAAAAAATATGTGATCATGCAAAAGAACAACAAAATTTTTATCCAACTTTTGGTTTTTTTATCCAAACAAAGTTTACTTTTGATGGCCACAAAAATGCCGTCTGTTTATGACGCGCCTGTGTGTTTGTGTGAAAATGTGTTAAACCACGGTGACGTCCTAGTTAAACTCGTGCTTTTGTAACAGTGAGTATGGCGAGAGACAGAGGCTGCATGCCCCAATGGAAAACTTTATTATATTTTATTTGCATTTGTTTAATCCGAACAGAATCAAAGTCACAAACTCTCATGATCTCAAACCCCCGAGCACAAGCTGACAGCGTCTCCCACCTAACCCCAAGCCTTAGCCAAGTTAACAGGGTTCTCCTGAAATCCCCCGTGTTCGTCCAAGCTCACAGCACTGACCCCGTACCACAGCTTTCTAGGGTCTCCCCTCTACCCCCAAAACCTTATGCATGTTAACAGGACCTCCCCTGAAAAACCCTTAGGCATCTTCACAGGATCCCTCTTCTCACATCCAGCGCTCGGGGTAAAATGACTCAGTCAGCTGGTTCAGGTGCAGCCGAGGGGAGGAGTCAGAGAAATCACCTGCCATCTCAGAGTCTGTTACTATGGTGACTGACTTGAGTTGAAGTTGGAGGACATTTCAATAACATCTTTGATGGATAAATGGCCACGTGGTTTACATCACAGAACAAACTGATCTCTCTGCTTTCATCTCACTGATATCTGGAGAGAGAAACATCCTGATGACAGAAGGTGAACAAATTAGTTCCTCAACCTAGAAAAACATCGCTGCACCATTAACACTGTTGTCAAGTTAAACATCAGTGTGGTTGTTACTGAGGACCGAAACAGCCAACTTCTGATCCAACAAACAACTTTACAGATCCAGTTTCTCACAGGCAGATTCCTTCCTGACCTCCATTCCTACAAAGACCTTAAATAATAGTTATGTGATCGAACTATCGCAGGTGCTGAGCACTATTAATCTTCTCAAAAATAACAAATCAGCAGGAATGGACGGTCTAACTGAAGAGTTTTCTAAGGTTTTTGCTGCTGAGCTGGGCCTGTTTTTGAGCAAAGTCTTGATGAGGGAAGTCTTCCCCCCACTATGACTCAGGGACCGCCCACTCTCATTCCCAAACCCAATAAAGACAGTTTACTTCCAGATAATTGGCGCCTATTTGCCTGCTCAATAAGGATTATAAGACTTTAGCTCTAATTTCAGCAAAGAGGCTCAAAACGGATTTCCCTCATAATGAACACAATCAGGTTTTATGGCTAACAGACAAATAACCCACAGTATCAGGTCAGTGCTGGACGTTTTAGACTGCTGTCAACGTTTTGATGACAGTGGATTCATGTTATTTGTAGATCTTTATAAACACCAGTTCATTTTACAGTCCTTACATAAACTTGGCTTTTGTTCATCCACAGAGACTCTACAGAAACAGCTCAGTGACACTAACGGTGTCAGACAAGGATGGCCTGCTTCTCTGTACCTCTTTTTACCATTCGTCCAACTCTTAGCAGACCACATCAGATCTCATATGTGTCTCACTGCTGGACAGAAATCTGATCATCACTCAGCTGCCTGATGGTCCTGTTTTACTGATGAATGAATGACTTACATCTGAATATTAACGACCGTGAACTTATGGCTGTGAAGGAATGTTCCAGTACAGCTATTTGTAATATACAAGTTAAATGATGTTGAATAATAATTACGAAGGATCAGCAAAGAAGGACATCCTTAAATCTGGAACCTATCCTCAGAGAGATCTCTCCTTAAGAGGAAGAGTTCTGCTCACCAAAGCAGAGGCAATCTCACCATGAACAATAGCAGCTCTGTGTCTGCATGTGGAGAAAAAACTGTAATGATGCTCTTTACCTTCCTGTGGAGAAATAAGACTCGTTATGTAGGGAAACCTGTTCTCACGAGTGTATATGCTAAAGGTGATCTAAACTGTACACATTTAACACATTTAAGATTTAAATATAACACATTAATTCAAACAGTACATTCAATGTGTTCATCACAAAACCGAAAAGCAATGAAAACTGTAGGAGCCTGCATGAGTTTCGAGCTCGCGCTGTAGTCTCTTATCGCTGTACTTCTACTGCACTTTGTAGATGATTAATTTAATTTAACTTATTTATCCTTAATGTTTCTTTTTCTCTCTTCTTCTCCACTAAAACAATTACAACAGTCATGAGTCTCACTAAATATGGTAAAACTTGTGAACAAGATGTAAAAAAAAAGACTCAGACTTGAAGTTAACTCTGGAAGAGAGGAAAAGAAGAGAAAGTCAAAATCAGAGGACACCGGGCCACCCTCCAAAATAAAAGTATATCTCAGCAGGTTGAAATCAAGAAATAATAAGAACCAGTAAATAAAACTGAAAGATAAAAATGGAAAATAAAATAGAAGACTAAATAAAAATAAAATATATACAAAATGAACAAAAGTGGCGAAAATTCACACTCGAACAAGTAAATAAAAATAAACAGACTAAAAATGAAAAGATATCTTAATTAGATATGACTAATTAAGTCAAAAATATGCAAAAGTAAATTAATTGAATAAGAAAAATAGAAAACATAAAATTAGAACAGTAAAAAAAAACCAATTAAAATAAAAAATGGCAAATGAAATAGAACTAAAACATGAAATGAATAAAATAAAGATCCACAGTAGAGACCACAGTGGAATATAAATAAAGGAGCGTTCAGAAAGAAGCGGGATTTTCTGCGCAGCCGTACAGCGTTGCGCTCTGTGACGTGTAGTAGCGTGAGTGCGCCACAGGGTGGAGCTGTTCCCACACGGTGTGAGCGTGTCTGATGGACTTCCGGTGTTCGTGTGAAGCCGTGAGCTCAGGTTTCCTTTCAGAATAAAAGCACACACAAAGAGAGAAAACTGGGGTGCAGGACCACAGGTGTGACCCGCCCCTCCTCCCTCCACAGGTATAACGAGATAAACTGATGACAAGCGCAGTGATGTCAGACTGAAGCACGCTGACGTGTTTATGAAAGTTTCAGGCATAAAAACGTCACAGCGCGTGCGCCACTGCGGCTCCGTTGCTTTGATCCTTCAAACCTGTAAGTAAAATCAGAGAGTGCGCAGGCGCAGCGAGAGGATTCCCTGCTGCTCACCACGTGAGGTCGTTTCAGGAGAAAACCTGCGTTAAACTCATTACAAACAGGACGGCGAGTATTTACAAATTTTAAATAAATAAAATCAGTCTTTCAAACAGCAGCTCAGGATCTTCATTGATTATGAACACAAACATTCAGATCACAAAAGAATCGATTTAAATAAAAAACAATAAAAAAAATCATCCTGAAGAAATTCTATCCTCACTCTTGCCTCCCTTTAGGGGGCGCCACAGTCCTGCTGCTCGGTGCAGATTAGCATCAGTTGGTTCAGTCCCACCTGATGGCCTCAGAAAGGTGCTTCATCACCAGCGTGTGACACAGAAACATCTCGTGATGGTGAAACCGTGAGCTCTCTCCAGACCTTCAAACTTTATTTAAAACATGCTGAAGCTTCCAGTGAGACTGTCGGGCCACAGTTCATCATCATTTCATTGTAAACCATCAGGTGCTCCTCACAATAGAATAGAATAGAATAGAATGCCTTTATTGTCACTATACAGCTGTACAATGAGATACAGAGCATCTCCTACTCAGTGAAAACATGCTGGGGGGGGGGCACAGTTCTGCAGGACTACATGGATAGTATTAACAGAGGGAAAAGATATATATATAAAATGTACAAATATACAGGCCGGTTTAAAAAAAAGTGTGTGTGTGGGGAGGGGCAGTGTTATCGGTGCATGTGTGAGTTCAGGGTGGTTGTGGCTTTGGGGAAGAAACTGTTTTTGAGTCTGTGGGTCTTTGTGCTGATGCACCTACTCCTGAGGACACCAAGGAACCGGAAGGTGTGGACCCTCTCCACACACTCCCCCTTGATGTAAAGGGGGGCCAAGTCAGTGCTGTGCCTCCTGAAGTCAACAATGAGCTCTTTGGTTTTCTTAGTGTTCAGTGTCAGGTTGTTTTCTGAACACCAGGCTGCCAGCTTCAGGACTTCCTCTCTGTAGTCTGCCTCGTCTCCCTTTGAGATGAGTCCGACTACCGTGGTGTCATCAGCAAACTTGATGATGAGAGTGTTGTTGTGGGTCGAGCTGCAGTCGTGGGTGTAGAGAGAATACAAGAGGGGGCTCAGCACACAGCTCTGTGGGGAGCTCAGTATGCGGGTGGAGGAGAGATGAGGGCCGAGTCTTACAGTCTGGGGCCGGTTTGTAAGAAAGTCCTTTATCCAGGCACATGTGAGAGGAGGGAGACCAAGAGTGACCAGTTTGGTGATGAGGATGTCCAGGATGATTGAAGGCTGAGCTGTAGTCCACGAAGAGCATTCGGACGTAGCTCTGCCGCTGCTCTAGGTGACTCAGCACAGTGTGGAGGGCTGCGGCGATGGCGTCTTCTGTGGATCTGTTTGCGCGGTATGCAAACTGGCGGGGGTCGACTTCTGGGGGGAGGTAATCCTTGATGTGCTGAAGGACTAGTCTCTCAAAGCATTTCATGATTACCGGTGTGAGGGCCACAGGGCGGTAATCATTCAGGCTGGAGATGGGAGACGTCTTTGGCACTGGGATGATTGTGGCTGATTTTAGACAGGATGGGATGGCTGCCTGATCCAGTGAGAGGTTGAAGATTCTGGTGAAGATGACGGTAAGCTGGTGGCCACACGCTTTTAGCACCTTCTCCGTCTGGACCGGCCGCCTTCCTGGGGTTCACTGCTAGAAGCACACGTCTGACATCGTGCTCTGTTACAGTGAGTGGAGCGGTGCAGGAACCAGGTGAGGGTGAGGATGGGAGCAGGGCTGAAGCAGATGAGTGTTGCTGTTGTGATGTTTCAAAGCGGGCGAAGAAGCTGTTTATTTCCTCTGCCAGCTGTACACTCAGATTTTCTGCTTTCACAGCCTCTGTGGTTGATGATGTCTTGCATTCCCTGCCACACCTCCTGTGTGTTGTTGCTGGACAGCTGGGACTCGATGTTTCTTTTGAGGTCTGTCTTGGCTTTTTTAATCCCCCTTTTCAGGTCAGCTTGAGCAGCCCTGTACAGAGCTCTGTCACCTGACCTGAAGGCGGCATCGCGGGCTTTGAGGAGTGAGCGGACCTCGCTGGTCATCCAGGGTTTTTGGTTTGGGAAAACCTGAATGCTTTTGTCCACAGTCATATTTGCAGTACAGAACTTTATGTAGTCCAGTACTGATCCTGTAAAGGTTTCTAGGTCCTGGTGTTCAAATATGTCCCAGTCTGTCTCTGTGAAGCAGTCCTGTAGTTTGGAGAGAGCTTTTTCAGGCCAGGTCGTAACCGTCTTTGTGGTGGGCACTGCGCATGAGGGGGGTGTAGGCTGGGGAGAGCAGGAAGGAGAGGTGGTCGGACTGACCGAGGTGGGGGAGGGGTATGGCTCCCCATATGGAAAAGAAATAGTAAAAACATATATTATTTACTCATGAAAGTGGCCACTTTCTCATTACTTTCATATATTGTTTTAGTAAGTATCCAAAACATACAAGTTTCATTATATAATTCTTCAAGGGATCTTATATGTGTTTTCACTCTTGTATGCTTTTCATACAAGTTTCATACAAGACAGATACAAACTTTATAAGATTTATATATATCTTTTCCATATGGCTCTATATGCATGCTTGATGTTGGAGTAAACATGGTCTAGAGCGTTTTCTCCTCTGGTGGGACATTTGACACCAAACCTCCCGTTGGTGTTTTTGGGGTGATACACTGTTTGTCTGCTGCCGTCTGCCGGGATGATGAAGAAACGAGACGATGACCAAACACAGCCGTGAAACTCTCAGCTGCTTTCAGAGACACAAAATAAAGCTGCTGGGAT